AATTGTTAAATTTATTTTATTATTTTTTAGTTTTTAAAGGTTTTTTATATAATAACGACCAAAAGTTTACTTGGTGCTTCTTTTTGATATCACTTCTTTTGTAAAACAGGTTTATTTTTAAAGAAGAATTTTTTGTAGTATTAGTAACTAGAATCCAATACGTATTGTGCGTGTACTTGGCGCCTTTTTTTACCGATTTTTGCAAAAGTAAGTTTTTTGAATGTAATAAACTAAATCAATTTTTTTTGATTATATGTTAAATACTTTCTATTGCGTATTCTTTTCTAATTCTAATGTTTCAAATATAAAACAAACAAAACTTTACTTGGTATTATAATTAAAATTTTACTTGGTGCTACTTTTGGATATCACTTCTTTTGTAAAGCAGGTTTTGCTTCAAGATTTATGTTATAGTTTTTATTGTAAGTAAATTTATTTTTTTTGTTTTATTATATCTTCTTTCTCTCACTTGTTTACATAAAAAGTTTACTTATTTATTTTCTCCAGGACAGTATATAAACATTTGTTGCACCTTCATTAAAATTTTACTTGATGGTACTATTGGATATCACTTTTTTTGTAAAGCAGGTTTTGCTTCAAGATTTGTTATAGTTTCTATTGTAAGTAAATTTATTTTTTTTTTGTTTTATTATATCTTCTTTCTCTCACTTGTCTACATAAAAAGTTTACTTATTTATTTTCTCCAGGAAAAGTATACAAACATTTGTTGCACCTTTAGGCCAGTGGTGTTTTTTAATTTGCATATCATCAATTCTACACCAGTTTGATTTTCCTTCTCTACACTTGTATAATGACTATTTTTAATACGCAGTTCATTATTAAATATAGCATTCATTACTTTATAGAGCTGTCCACCTACTGACACTTCAGTTGTTGGTACAGCTCGTATAGTAAATTTATTTGCTGATATTACTTTACTCTCTTCTAGTAAAAAATGAGTGATAAGTATTTCTTTTGTCAATGTTATTTCTCTTTTTAATATCATATCCTTCTCTTTGCAAGTTTAACATAAATCGTTATATGATTCATACTAATGTGGAAAGATAACGTTTAATGAATTGTTAAGATTATAACTCTTTTTCTCTAAATTAATAACAGAAATTGAGATTAAAATCTTATTTGATATAACTGTATTTGTAATATAACTGACAATGTTTGCATCGTGTAGTAGAAGTTACTTGAAGTTGCTCGACTACATTTTTTATATAATCAAATTTTGCGCAAAGAGCCAATAGAAATTCAGATGCATCTCGTTTTATATTATCCATAAAGTTATCTCCTAGATATTGTCGTAATCTATATGTATTTAAATTAGGCATTCCATTTTCATATTGATGCATTAATACAAATAAAATTTTTTCTTTATCATAATTAAATATTTGTTTTCTAATGGTACTTAAGTGCAAAAGACATTGCAATATTGCATTTGCATAAGATGAAACTTTATCTGTGTTTTGGAAACCACGAATAATCCAACCAGTATTTTTCTGAACATTTTGTTGTGGTTCTTGTGGTTTTTGTACAGAAGCAATTACTTTTGATAAAATCCATGGATTATCTTTTACTTTACTAATCTTTTGTTTTGAAACAAGAATCATTTCTGTTTCAGGTTTATGTATTTGTTTTATCCTGTTGTATTCAATAATAGCTTCTTCACTAGCTTTTACACAAATGAAGGATCATAATTAATTAAATACAATCTTTCCAAAGACGTTACTCGAGACAATGCAACATAAATTTGACCAGGACTGAATACAGAATTACCTACATTCATAATAGCGTTCTGCAAACTCAATCCTTGGCTTTTGTGGACAGTAATTCCATAACTCAGGCACAATGAAAATTGTTTTCTAATGACATATATTCTTTCCATGACAGAAAATTTGACACTTACTCTCTCAATTAAAAATTCTTCTCCTGACGGCAAAAGAAGATTTATTTTTTCTATAGTATTATTTCATACATCTTTAACAACGGAAATCACTTTACCTATTGTACCGTTTACAAGGCCTTTGCTAGCATCAATGATTCGATGTATCATAACTTTTGCTCCAATTTTAATAATTTTTTTGGAAAGTCCGGCTGTTCTTGAATTATCATCTTCATGATTTGACAATGTTTTTACAACTTTGTTTTCAACAAAGCGATTACAATTTATTTTATCTTTTGCAATTAATACTATTTCTTCAGCAGTAATTCGATTTAGCATTGCCGCATTCAGAACGTCACACATATGACAAGTAGATAGTAAACATACGGTATCTGTTGGCAAATCACTAATAAAATTACATAATTTGTTTAATCTAGATTCCATAGATAGACTTTTAAAGGAGAGTATTCTAGTTTGAAGAATTTTACAATCGGACTGAGTCACTAATCCAATACAAATTTTCGATAATAACTCACAATAAGATTCATCTCCTTGCTGTCGCATATTGATTGTTAATTCGTCGTAGTCAAACAATCTAGTCCATCTATTTGTGGCCTCCAACGAACCAAGATATCTATCAATTTTTTCCTTTGATAAGCTCACAAACACAAAATCATCGTTTACAGGAGGTAATTGAAGTAAATCTCTAAATAGAAGAATGTGTTTTCCACCGAACCAGCCGTCATCAGAATCAATAGTGTCAAATATTTGACACAATCGAAGATATATGTACATTAACGTCAAATTAAAAATCATTGACACTTTATCAATTATAATCAGAATAACATCTTCGAGATCTGCTCGTAAATCTTTTAATACATGATCAGATCATTGTTTATATTTAGGAATAAAACCGTGTTCAAAAAGCACTTGAAGTAGTCTATGAACTGTCAAACCGTCTAAGTTGAACGCTGCAATACCAGTAGGAGCTGCTATAGCAGTATCTTTGTTGAGATTTTGTTTTATCCAGCATTTACTAGTTTTAATTAAGTAACTTTTTTCTGTACCACCTTCTCCACTGACGTATAATCGCAATGGTGATTTATCTGATCTTACAGTTGTAACGACTTTATCAAACACACGTTTTTGATCTTGATTTAATTTTGCTATCATATCACATACATAGATATTTTTATTTATTTTCTCTCCTAGATCTTTAAAATCTTGCATTGCTTCCCCAGCTTCTATATTTTGCATACCTATTGGATTTTCTGGATCATCTTGCGATATATTCTGTTTGTTTAATTTGTCGTCTAAATATTCTTGAACCAACTGTTTTGCAGTTTCAAACGCTTTTTGCAATTCTTCTATTTTTTCATGATATTGTAATGCTTCTATAAGATGTAATTTTAATTTGTGAAATGATTTTGTATAATTATCACATCCGTTTTTAAGATCTTCTAAGTTTCGCCATGGTTTGAACATAAGTAATAATGCAAAGAAGTAATTTTCCGGTTGTGTATTTACATCGTATTTATAATGGGTAATAAAATATTCACGTTTCCGCTGTTTAAGATACATACCCATCTTTATTTTGTAATATATAACATATTTATTTTTTGGTTTATTTTTCGTGATGTCGTACCACTTTGCAAATTCATAAAGAGACACATTTTCTAATTCTATTGGTCTTATTGGATAATAAGTATCTATCAAAAATTTGTCAGTAGATTTGCTATCAAGATTTTTAATTTCTTTACGAGTTTTTAATTTTCTATATNTAATTTGATTAACATCTAGCCATCTAATAGTCGTATTTCGATCAGTTCCGTATAAAGGAATACCTAATAATGTATCAGCAGCTTCGAGAGCTCCACATTCTCTGTTATGCGTAAAACGCAAAGCAATGTTCCAAAGATAACTTTCTAATTATTTGTTTTGGTCATTCCTACTATTGATAATGCAATCGGATAATTCACATTTTCCTGCTTTATTCATATACTTAGTGACGTACCATGTAAGTAATGTTGATTTCTCACCAATAAATTGTATATCCATATTTCCTTCCCAAGCAGTAAGAAGAACAGGATTATAATCATTTATATTACTTTCATTTTGTGTCCGAGGTAGATCATAAAACCTACATCTATGTTTTAATTGCTTTCTACGTGCTATCGAACTTGCGACATCTCTTATAGTCAATGCTTCAGTAATGGAACAAAGAAATCCAAACTGACATCTACGTACAACTTTACGTCCTACTTTCTTAGAACGCAGACAATAATCGTTGTGTTTGTGCGTCTGATGCATATTAACGCGTTTATATAATAACGGTGAAATATCTTGATTTGGAATTTTACAGCTTATATGTCGTAAAATAAAATTGGCAACTTTTTCAGTAGAAGATTCTCCTATAATCGGTGCATTTTTAATCCAAATTAATAAGTGGAAATGTTGTATACCTCTACCTTGATATTCTCGTCGCCAGAAGTAATGAGTTACTTCTCCGATCGGATGATCTTTAGAACATATAAAGTCAAGCATTGCTTTAAATTTATTATCAAGAAATCTTGATGTTGAGACAGGACTTGTTTTGCAACAAGTACACTAATACTTAACAAAGAATTATGCCATCCATTTATCTCACATAGTGTATGTAATCTCCTAAATCATCCCATAACCATACACTCGGACTTAACGTTAAAAACCACGTTGCAGGTCCATAATGTTGCGTCATGCAATTTAAATCACCTCTCAGTGTTTTCCAATATTGTTCCGTATTTCTTAGTGTAGAAAATATTGTATTCAAGTTAAATTCTAACAATTCTTTTGACATTGCTTCTAAATATTGTATTCTGCAGCTGTGTAAAGACATCGTAAATTTGTTACATTCATTTTGTGATAAATTCCGCGACTTAGCTGACGAATAGTTGCATTGTTTAATAAATAAAATAAATATTGTTAATTCAATCTGTACTGTAAATGTTTAGACGTCAAACGACATTTAATAAATTCATGGTCATAAAGTTTCACCTTTCTAGCTTCATGTTGTCCGTTAATACCAAAGAAAAATAAATCTGGGAAACACATTAAATCTAATAATTTCTCCCGATTATCTAAGAGTAAATCATGAACTTTCAACATTTAAAACAAGGCTGTCGCAGTTTTATTTAGTTGTCTTTTGTATAAAGAATAAATAGTATAGTAGTTATATTATGTATGTTCTGATCTAAGTTTCCAATACGCGAGTCACGTCTGTCCTTGTCTATCTAATGGCGTGTCGAGCAGTTCGAGCATGCCATACTGGAAACACTCCATAAGAGAGAGAGATAGTCGACAACCGAGGGCACCATAAGGGGGGAGGGGGAGGGGGGTGTAACCGCGCGAGGGAGGGGAAGAGGGAAGCGGAGGGCCAATCGCGTTAAGGAAGGGGAGGGGGAAGGAGTGGTCACGTGTGTTCAAAGTCGTTTGGATGATGACGTCATCGTTAAAATATAAAGTGCGCAGTAAAATAAATAATTCCGAGAAAAACCGCAAATTTCCCGGAAGCGGTTCGCGTTTAAAAAATAAATAGCGCGCAGTTCGTAAGTGCGCAGCAAATGAATAAGAAATTACGAGAAAAACCGCAATTTCCCGGAAGTGAGCCTGTTCTTATCGCCCGCTTCCGGTTGATGACGCACTTCCTATGATAAAGTCCGCGTGAAAAACCGTTACGTACCGGATGTGGTGTTTTTTGAAACGCAAATGCAAACCGAAAGATCTTGAGGATAGATAAGGAGCGAAATAAAAAGGTGCCTCGAG